GAGACCATCTGCTGGAGGTTTTGGAGGACTTGAGGAGACCATCTGCTAGAGGTTTTGGAGGACCTGAGGAGATCATCTGCTGGAGGTTTTGGAGAAAATGTCCTATTCTGTTTCATGGTGGATTCTATCTGTTCCATGGTCCTGGGTCATCTTTGCAGGATGAAAGCAAATTTTATTTTTTAAATCTGTATATCTTTTATTGCATTGACGGTGCCTTTTACGAGCTTTCTTTACCAAATGCACTAATGCACCCCCATACCATCAGCGAGGCAGGACTGTTGAGCTGCTTGCTGTTAACAGGCTGGATGTTTCCTCCCCTCTTTAGCGCTGAGGCCGTGGTGTCCGTGGTTTCCAAATAGAATTTAAAATTTCTATTTTGTCCGACCACAGAACAGTTTCTTACTTCGCCTCAGTCCAGAGAAGACGGCAGCGGTTCTGGATGATGTTCACAGACGGCTTCTTCTGTGTATGATAGAGCTTTAACCTGCATTTGTTGAAGGCCCGGTGAACTGTTCACATCTGTGGAAGTGTTCCTGAATCCGTTCGGTGACGCCCAGACCAGAACCAGGCCTGTTTTTAATGCAGTAAAATTAAAAAAGAAATTCTTAAACTTGTAACGTTTAATTTCTGGTGCACGGCACAAGTTCTTAGTTTCAACTTGTGACATGTTTACGATAAAATAAAATATATGAGCTGTGCAAATTGTTGCATTCTGTTTTATTTACATTTCACTCAACGTCTCTTTGGTGTTTTAAATTATGAACTTGGTTAAACTGACAGTTTAACTCCAGCGAGGTGTTTTTGAGCTGCCGTGTCTTTTTTTTTTTTATCTCCCTTTCCTTCCGTTTTGCAACATCCTGAGTGTGTTTGTGAGTTCCTCTCGAGATCAGGAAGTGATAAGATGTCCGATAAAACTTTCTGCAGCCCAGCACCTTCCTCTCATCCTGGGTGTTTACCTGTAATTAAAGATGAATAATTCTGTTTCTGTTTTCTGCAGATCCTCCTTCTGTACAAAACTTGTGGATTTCAAGCCATTACCCACAAAACAAACTTGTTGTCCAGTGGGCGCTCCCCCCCTCCTCATCCTCTGCTCCTCTTGTCAGCCATGCCACTGTGGAGTGGTGCTCAAAGAAAAAGCCGTCCTCCAGAAACTGGACCAGCGTGGAAGGCCTCGCAGCCTCCGCTGTCATCCGAGGTCTGAACAGTTTCTGACGAGCAGATCACGACGGCAGCCGGTCCATTTCCATGTTTAACCAGAATGCACAATTTATATATTCAGTTACTTGTTCCTGTACGTTTTCTGCAATCCAACTAACATATTTTTCGGCCTATAACATACCGGATTATGAGCACATTAAGCGAAACAAAACAGTCAGATGAGTCAAACTTTATTCAACTCATTCACAATAACCACATAAAATCATTTCGAGGTCAGTGAGAACAAGAATTAATACAGAAGATGCATCGGATTAAAAGGCTCACTGTGGATTTTTGAGAAAATTAAAGGATTTTAAGTGCACGTTATAGTCTGAAAAAGATGGTACATGTACTTCTGCATACTTAAAGGACTTTTAGTTTTATTTCAGGCTAGATTTATTTACATACAATTTCCTTATAGAAACGACTGATCAGTTACAAATGCTACTAAAAAATATTTATTTTAAATCTGGTTCAGCAAACTGCCTCAGATTTAGTCTTTTTTAGCTTTTAGCTAACACATCTGCTACTTTTAGCTAACCTTTTCCTTCTTTGTCCTATAGTTTAGCCAGTTTGAGCTTTTAACCAGATTTTATTACTTCAGCTAATCTTTTGCTACCTTTAGCTAGGCTACTTAAACTTTAATACTAACATTTTGCTACCTTAGCTTTTAGCAACTGATTTGCTACTTTTGCATAACATTTAGCTATTTTTGGTTTACCCGTTGTTACTTTGAGCTACCGTTTTGTTCTGTGTAGATTTTAGGTCACTTTTGTGGCTTTTAATTTACCGTATTTTTCGGACTATAAGGCGCACTTACTTAATTTTCTCAAAAATCGACAATGAGCCTTGTGTATTAATTCTGGTTGTGATTACTGACCTCAAACCGATTTTATGTGGTTATTGTGAATGATTTGAATAAAGTATGACTTATCGGACTCTTTTGTTTCACTTAATGCGCCTTATAATCCCAAAACTACAGTAGCTTTTTGCTACTTTTGCTTACCAGTTGTTGTTTTAGCTACCGTCTTTCGTCCTTGTAGCTTTTAGGTAACTTTTGCTCCTTTTAGCTTTACTTAGGTTCCTCAGCAAATTTCAGTAAAGTCATCCATCGCTCAGTTTGTGTATTTCCACAGAATATGTTCATTTCTGTAGAGTTTTTATTTTTTCCTGCAGCAACAAACCGCTGAATGTTACGACCGATTGGTCTAAAAGGCTTCATTCTTATCAGGAACATGTTTTGTATTATGAATTATGGGATTTAATGTTGTGGCTGATTTGAGCAATTCATCACAATACATACCCCAACACCGTGTACTAATACAGCTCCTTTATAGTATTTCATCTGTGTATTTTCCCAGATGTTGAGCCTGAGGAGTCCTACCTGGTCAGTGTTTTCCTCGTCTACCACCAGCAGTGTGGATCTCCTCAGTCTCTGACGGCCAGTCTGCAGCAGGGAGGTAAACCGCACCCCAGAACACAACATCCATGTGTTTTTAACCCTTAACTTCACTTTCAGCAGTTTACAGGCAGCGTTGGTGTCAAGGTGAACTCACTTTTTGGCCACGATTTGAACAATTTTCCCCCTGAATGCAATTTTAAGGGTAAAAGCGGATAAAAGTACATAAAACTGAAGTATTTTGTTTTTGTTTTCACAGCTCTGGTGGAAGCAATCAACCTGAACGTTGCCAGTGTGACTAAAACAACAGTGACAGTAATGTGGGCGTGGCAACAGAAGTCTGGACCAATCAGAGTGAAGAGATACAGGGTGATGCTGAGGAGAGATGCTGACACACAAAGTAGGTTAAAATAACACTTTTTTATTATTTAAATGTCTTAAATTGCCCTGTTTCTCTCTCATTTGCTTTAAAGGAGATATATTTTCTTGTTTTATAAAGTGGTTTTGGACTGAGGAGTGTTGACACAACTCTGGTTCAGTCCTTGAGTTTAGGAACTTTTATTCTCAACATCAGTTTAGTTCCTCCTTAGAAGCGAAATATAAAATACGAGAGGCGAGTAAAAGACTTCATCATCCTTGTAAAAACTGAATTCTCTCTTTCCCAGCTCTGTCGTTATGGCCGGACCAACAGCAGCACACCTTCTTCAACCTGACCCCGAACACGGAGTATGCTCTTCTGCTGTTGGCCGATGACGTTTCCAGAAGCATCATTACTGTGACCACACGTTTTGGTAAGATTCCCCCGGCTAAAGTCAGGCCTAAAACACAACACCAAATCTGATTAACAAAACCAAAACATTTAAAGTTTAATTAATCCCAGCTTGAAATGTTTCTCCAGATGAGGTTCCAGCTGTGGCGACGGCGACTCCTCTTCTGCTGCTGGCCGTCACCATGATGATCATCTCCGTCCTGTCCAGGACTGTGTGAGTCCTCAGAAATCCTGCTCTTATTGTTGTTTCCTCCACTTTATAATTGACATGTATTATAAACAGGATGTGGTCAACAAACTCTGTTTTTAAGTGTTGTGAACAAATATTTTGATTATTTTCTAGTTATTTACCCTCGCAAACATCTTTGTAAGTGGTTTCTACGGTGTGAATATTTATCATAGTTTAAATATTTCTGCAGGTACAAGTCGTACTTCTTCCCTCCCATCTCCAGCCCTCGATTAAGCTCCACAGGCCGGTGGCTGATGAGCCCAAACCCAAAGGTAAACTCAAGTGTTTATGTTCCAGATATCCAAGTGTTTGATGAAGTTGCAAACTGAAGAGAAACAGGCAAACTTTTTTTTTTTAAGTCTCACGATCACATAAAGAAGTTGCGACAGAACCCAAAAAGACACAAACGAGAGACAAACGAAAATCAAAGCTCCTAACAAAGTTTTAATAGAACTGACAACCAGACACAACTAAAAGTAGACAACATCTGGAACAGTCCGACATGAACAGGAATAGATGAAGAAATGGCTGCAGAGATGCAAAACGAGGAACAAATTCAAACTATAAACTAAAGAAATACGTGTTAAAACAGTTTCTTTATGTGCAACTGAACAGAAGAAACACTGCGAAGGATGGAACCAAATGAAAGAGACAAGCAATTAAAAACTGTATCATCAAGTCATTTACGAGTATAAACAAGCACCTTAACAACCGTTTGACTCAAAATATGAACAAGATGTCATAAAAATACACTAACGGAGTGAAAAAGGATCAAAATGACACGAAACGTTCACAAACCAACCACAGGGCTACGGGATAAAAAGATGGTGTGGCTGCAGACGTGCAAAAGACACAAACAGATGCAAAATGACCACAAAGATGGCTGAACAAGAAAAACAAGTACAGATTCATTTTAATTAGAGCAAAAATATCCCAGACAACAAACAAAAGAGAGAAAAGAACGTCAACAAGAGTCGAGTAAAAAAAACTATTGAGCTAACAGATGACAACAACGACTGATCTGCACTTTGTAAACTACAAAAATATAAAATCATTAACAGCAGTGGAGAAAGTACTCAAACACTGTACTTAAGTAAACGTACACATAAACAGACAAAAATGTACTCTAGTAAAAGTAGAAGTACCACATTAACTGTTTTATTTAAGTAAAAGTACTTGCTTTTAAAAATAAAGTATTAAAAGTACTTGCTGAATGTATTACCTAATGCAATAGTCTACAGTATCATTAAGTGTGCCTGTATGTATATTTTATGTAGTACATTAATAGTGTTGAGCCATTTTAATGAACAATGCTGCAGATAATACATGTTTTTATTGTGCGACACCGTTCACACTTGGACTTGTGATTCTGTGCGTCAGAGTTTCAGGGATGACCTGCAGAGTTAAATGTATTTAAGCAAAATAAGAAAGAGGAATGATTAAACATTTGAAAGTTTTTACTCAACACAAAGTAAAACCAATGTGTCATTTTAACTGCAGTAAACATATTTAAGTAAAAGTTGTCTGCCTGAACAAAAGGAGCATTAGACACAACTAACAAAGGAACATCTGATCATTTCAACTCCAGTTTGTCATCAACTCTAGTTAAAATACTGTCTAGTCAAACTTGTAACGAGTCTATGAACAATATTTTAACTTCCTGACACCATTTTTAAAACTTGGACCCGAGTGTCGAGTCATTTGGAGACATCTCTCGTCTCCTAACATCCCATGAACCGACTCATTTGAATATTGCAGCAAGAATTTCTTGTTCAAGTTCAGAAAAAGTTGGTTTTCAAAGTTTTTCGAGTCCAGTCCGGCTCAGGAGAATCTGTCCTGCTGGACTGAACAGTCTTTCAATAAGGCCATGGGTGGCGTGCATCTTCTGGCTGACTCTCCACAGTGGAATCTAGTTTGTGTGTTAGTGGTGCTGCGGGTGCACCCAGTACAACGACATATATACTAGGATGTTGGTCCAGCTCTTCTTGAAGGTGGGTCTAGCGTTACCTGCCCACTTTGCAGTGACTCGATGGACCAGCTCCCCTCTCACCATTGGTTACTTTCAAACTAAAGAACAAATTTAAAAAAACTGCAACGTGAATGTAACGTGTAACTCAACGCATTATAGAAATGTAGCGTACTAGAAAGTACAGATACTTAATGTAAAATGTAGTGGAGTAAAAGTCGGAAGTACCCACGTTTAACTCTACTCAAGTAAAGTTCAGATACATGAAAAATGTACTGAAGTATCCCACCACTGCTCATTAAAGTTTTTAATAAAGTAAGCTATTACCATGTTATAACAAAAAGAAACAAAACTTATACATTTTCTCTCATATTGATGATCAACGTCCTTAAATAAAAAAAAAATAGAATAAAAATGTGTAAATGGCTGCTTTTACATAAATGTCTGAAGTGACTGATAATAGACTAACATGGTGTTAAGGCCGGTAATTTTGATGTTTAGTACATATTTTTACTGATTTGTTGAGTAAATTATGCTGATAAAAATACTTTGAGTGCTTACATCATATATCAATCAATCTGAAAAACTAGTGGAGTAAATAAACTCTTTCAAACGGCACTTTTAAAATGTCTCAAGATTAACGTTTGTATTGGACTTTATAGTTTGTCATGAGTGCATTTAACGGCTTCAAAAGGTGGTGCAAAAATATCAAATCAACATTCGTAATGACAAGAACTACGTGTAACGAACTAAAAGTGGGGATGAAACACAAAAGTGAGCTTCACTTTAGTAAACGTCAAGAAAGACGACTCTGAAACAAAAACAAGAAACACGTTTTTTTGAGTTTTATCGCCGTTTGTGATTCCTCTCCTCAGAAATACGGCGAGAGAAACACCCTGGATATGAAAGACTTCGAGGTGACGGATCTTCTCGAAAACAAACGTCTCGTCGGCTCAAGCGACCAGTCATCAGACGACCTGCGTGAGGTCGTCTCTCCTCTGCCAATCAGCATTCAGACGTCAGCCATCAGTCTGAGCGTTGGCGACGCCGGACCAATCAGAGAGCTGCTCGCACATCAGCCGTACGGTCCCATCAACACGGATCTGACCTGTGACATGGAGTATCTGATGATACCCGACGACAGGCCCATGTGACGACATCTTAAATGAGTATTTTACAGAAATCCAACATCATTTTGAGCTTACGCTTGGAAAAACCATACAGGAAATGTATCATTGCACACATTTATTAATTTATTTACAGTGTTGAACATTTTACTAAATCATATGGATTTTGTTAAAGCTTTAAATCTGATATTTGGAAAAAGTTTGAACCTTTTGTGTGAACCGACTCATTTCGGTGCGTTTACTATAGTACTAACTTAGATCCAAGAACATATGGAGGGTGAAATGTGACAAAATTAAATACACAAATAAATGTATCATTTAATTAGTAAACGCATCATTAGATATACAATTAAATTATTAAATACACAATAAATTAATTAAATGTTCCATGAAATAATAAATGTACTTTTTAAAATTATTTATTTCATGATGTATTTGTTTATTAAATCTTGTCACATTCCACCCTTCATTGTATGGAGGGTGGAATGTGACAAACTTAAATAAATAAATACATAATAATTTAATGTATCATTTAATTAACTACACTAACAAATAATTAAATATACAATTAATTGTGTATTTAATAACTTAATTGTATATTTATTGATTTATGTATTTACTAATTATAAAGTACATTTAATTATGTATTTATTTATTTAATGTATTCCACCCACCATACTTATTCCATAAGTATGGTGGGTGGAATGTGACAAAATTAAATACATAATAATTTAATGTATCATTTAATTAAATACATCATCAAATCATTAAATATACAATTATTTACGTATTTAATAATCGAATTGTATATTTATTTATTTAATTATGTATTTATTAGTTAAATGATACATTTAATGATACATTTATTTATTTCATTTTGTCACATTCCACCCTCCATATGAACAGGGTCAGATCATGTATTCATGTATATATTTTATTAACAGCAACTGATAATTAAATATTTGATTAATTTCAATTATAAAATGTTACTTTTCACTCCTTGGTGTGCAGGACTTCTCCACCTTTGATGTACGAACTTCTCAGACCTGTTTGCACAGTTCGTCTTTAGCGTTTTCCACCTGTGAGCCAGTAGAAATATTGAAGCATCACGTGACTCGATCTCCAGATCCTAATGGGTTAACATCAGAGGGCTTGTTGTCCTGAATCAGATGTTTCAGTTCAGTCTGGGGTTCATCGTGGCTCCAAAGTTTGGAGTTAGAGGTTAGAGTTCACACCGACCCAGTGTCTGATCAGCTGGTGGGCGATGGTCTGTCTGGGGGGCACGAAGAAAGCCGGGCTGGCTCCTCTGAACAAGGAATCAATCACCTAAAGAAAGTAATCAGAAACATCATTCTCTTTTGTACCATACATGTTTACCATTGATGCTAGACATACACAAAGTTCAGTTTATTGTGAAACTGTAGATATTTTTACTCAGGAGTGTTTGAAAAAGGGTCGACACAACTAAAGATGGATCGATTCATCTATTGACCATTTTTGTCATTTCTTAAAATCAGCCATAAAAAAACAAAAGCTACGGTAATTGGTTGACCTCTGAACCCAACATTTTGGTAAACTAGTCATAAAAACAAAAAACATAAATAGTTGGTGAAAATGTGATTCACGGAGTTTTTATTTTTACCTGTTGCTGTGAAAACCAGCGAGCTTCTTCCATCTCCTTCTCGTCCACCTTGATGTCGGTGGAAATGGCAACAGCGAGGCAGCCGATCATGAGGTTGGAGGGCATGGGCCAGGGCTGACAGGAGACGTACTGCACCGGACCGACCTTCACGCCGCTCTCCTCCTCCACCTCCCTCCTCACCGCCTCCTCGATCGCCTCCCCTGCAGACACGCCCGTTCTGCCGCGTTTAGACGACCGGTAGGTTCAGAGCAGGTTTCAGTTGTGATTGCGTCATCTTACCAGGCTCCACGAATCCTGCGAGACAGGAAAACATCCCTGCAGGGAAGACCTTCTTCCTTCCCAGCAAACACTGGTTTCCGTCAGGGTGGATCACCAACATGATGACCACCGGGTCTGAAAACATGGTTGCTAATTGTACTGGTTATTTTCAACAGATTTCCAGTTGGTAATGTCAAACCAGTCAAATGTTTTGTTGAAATCGGGTCTCTCTTGTCAATGAGTCCTCGAGGCTCAATGGGATTAACTTGTCTAAATAAAGGTTGAATGAAAAAAAAAACAAGGTGACCGCTCTATTTATGAAAGAAACAAGTCGAGTCGGTGTTGATGGTAAAACTGGATTATTCAGTGACGTATTTGTGCGTTTTTGTGCCGTTATTTAAACAACCTGGTTGTGCTTGTATTTATTAATACCAGAGTTGTGAAACATGAACAATTTGTTGGAATGAGAGGTACGACATAAATCTTTAAATGATCCAGTTTACAAGTCCTAACAGTTTAGAGTAGTATCTCACTGGGCTGCGACTCTTGACAACTGGCTGACGAGCGGCTCCAGAATGTCTTGAAACCTTCAAGGTGGTCCTCGGTTTCTGTGGTGGGCTCGTACATTTTTGAACATTAATCAAACTTGTGCAACAAAACTTCTCTCTGAGATGTTTCCGGCATCTCAAACCCGTCTGATTAGTTTGTTCTTTGACACCAGCGTGGGAGCTCTCCAGGACTACTGTGGCATGCGTGTGACATCACGTGCGCCGCAGTATGGCAGCACTGATGGGAGCTCCGCTTTGACTCGTTGTTTTTATTGTTCCTGTTGTTTCTGTTTTAACATTTGTTTGCGTCTACACTGCACACCCACGCTACAGGGATGACCGCGACACACTTTTGGAGTTTTGTGTGTCGCTGCCTTGCCTTCGTGGTTCAGTCCTTCCAGCCTCGGGCTCTGGCTCCGGCCTGTCATGGCGGCCGTCTCCATGATCCTCCATCTGCCTGCACGGATCAAACTCTATGGAACAGTTCGGTTCTGCTGGGAAAACTTGGATGTTCTGTATCTGCCGGACCCGAATCTGGACGGCAGTCATCATCCGTAGCCACATTCGTTATTGTCATCATGTTGCTAACGGGACTGCGTTGCTGACAAGACCATGCTGCTAAAAGAACTTCACTACTAATAGAACCTCATTGCTAACAGAATCAAACTGCTAACAGAACCTCATTGCTAACAGAACCTAATTGCTAACAGGATTACACTGCTAACAGTACCACACTGCTAACAGTAC